TCTGAATGTTAAACGCAGAACTTTTAAGGTAGGGTTTTCAAACATTTTCTTAACCTCAGATCCACAGAATGTTAGCCATAGCATTTTTTTTGCAGGACACTAAATCAGCCCTACCCTTTTCACTGCACCTTAGAAAAACTGGCATGGTTGCAGTCAAGTTAACTTGACTCCTCATTTTCACCTTCTCTTCTAAGCGTAGGAGACGAACAGCTATAAGTTTCTTGCAGTTTATAAATTTTATTTTATTTTCTTCATTACTAATTGATTTCATTTCCTTTCTGCGTGGAAGGACTTTCTGCTCCAAGATGGAGAACAGCTTAGACAAGGTACTGGCTGAACAAGGGATTTTTGAAAGAAAGCACCGATTGTCCTCAGCTTTCAAAAACTGGAAGAAATAAAGCTCAATGGCTCTAACCCAGTGGTTCTCAACCTTTTTAATGCCGCGACCCCAACCGGTCGTAAGTTGAGGACTAAACCGGTCGTAAGTCGAGGACTAAACCGGTCGTAAGTCGAGGACTACCCAACCAGTCATAAGTCGAGGACTTTCCCTGCCCGGGAGCGCCGCGCATGCGTGGTTCTGCCCCCTGCGCCGGCCGAGGCGTAGCTGGCAAGCGGCAGAGACGGAGCAGGCCGACCACCAGCTGGCCCAGCCCAAGGGAGGTAAGGCACCCGCTGGAAAAGGGGGGAAAAATGGCGGACAAAAAAAATGGACAAAAAACTGGTGGACAGCCTTGCTTGGCGACCCCCATGAAATGGTCGATCGACCCCAAATGGGGTCCCGACCCACAGGTTGAGAACCACTGTCTAACCAAAGCTGAAAATCAGAACTAGGGGGTCCTTCTTCTTTTTTAGTTAATCCCCTTCTGTCCAAAGTTTTTGTACAATGCAAAGCAATCAGATTTTTTTTTATACTACTATTATTAGTCACCTGAAGTTATTTTTAGGACAAATACATTTTAAACTAAAAAAAAAGTAATATATGAGCTTGGTTTGTCCATGACAACTAATACTGGTAGTTGTAAAAGAGATTGAAAAAAAGTATTATTTGGAATGGCTGAATTATTTGGGTTCAGGTAGTCGTGAATCCAGAGAATAAACATCAAAATTTTGAAGTATTTGTTTTGTACATACTGCATTCACAGTGCTTAAGGTTTCTCATGTAAATGCATTGCATTTCTGAATGTGATTCAAAACTAATTTCAGAGACTGTTCTCTATGTAGGTAACAGAAATTATCTTTGCATTTTGACCAGGTTTTGTTTATCTCATTGAATATTTCCCCACTTTTGATATAACTGTACTTGTGTGGACTGCATTGATAATAAAATATACCTAATAACTTTTTTACTGTGCTGGAACGGATCATGTTCTTGCTGCCATTGATAAAACAGTGCAATTTGTCTTTTTTTGAAATGCTGCTTAAGCAATTAAGAGGGCAATGGAAAATAAAGAGGAAGCAAAAAAGCTATATTACAGAACAAAGGGAAATCAATCAATAATTGTAATAACTATACTTCAATGCTTTCAAGTGTCACTGAGATTTTGTTGTATATTTCTATTTTTTAACAGAATAACAGAATTGGAAGGGACCTTGGAGGTCTTCTAGTCCAAGCCCCCACTCAGGCAGGAAGTCCTATACCATTTCAGACAAATGGTTGTCCAGCCTCTTCTTAAAAACCTCCAGGGTTGGAGCACCCACAACTTCTGGAGGGAAGTTGTTCCACTGATTAAATTGTTCAAACTCTCAGGAAATTTCTCCTTAGTTCCAGGTTGGTTCCCTCCTTGATTAGTTTCCATCCATTGCTTCTTGCCCTGCCTTTTGAAACAAATCTTTCTAAAAACATTGTTACAGTTTTAAATGAATCTCCACTGAAATTTAATTTTGAATCTGTAAGTGTGTACATAAGCGTACCTCATAATTACAACATATCTTCTTTCTTTGGGTTTATTTTTCTCCCAAAATGATTCTATAGGATCTACCTTTATCAATAGTGCTCTGCTGGGTAAAAGTTAAATGTCTTGAGAAATGAACCATGTTTTATGGAAAGCAAATATTCTGTACACTAATTTCAAATTATTCATTGAAAATGGCATTTGAAACACGATTATTGTTCAGTAATCAGAGATTCTATATAACAGAGTTACTACTAACAATACCTGCTCTTACCCTTTATATTTAACAGAAGCTAATTCAAAACTGCTATAGATGAAGCATTTTCCATCAAAGAGGAAATGATAGGAAAAAAAATCTTTTTTAAAAAATTCCTGCATAAGAGATGCTGCCCAAATCCCAGACACAAAGTCATTTGACAAAGCTTTAATTGTGTAGTGTTTTTGGACTCAATAAAATCACGGTGTTCTCCACTTTTTACCTCATGACTTCTATTTATTCTGGTTTGAATAATTACCACAATGATCCAATCTTTTTTGCAAAAGGGTTTCCCCTTGATCTTAATTAGGTGGGTCAAAATACCTCAAATAATTAGGTATTTTATTGGCAGAACATTCCCTATTGTTTTCCAGGTTATCTCAAAATACTTAAAAAAATAAATCTTGTAAAATACATAGTCTCAGTTGCCAGGGGACAGGAAGTATGACTCCTGCATGCGTTTCAGAGGCTGAAAAAGCTATTAGAAATGCACTGCAGGTTCCCTCAGATGTGTCCGGAAAGGAAATCACTACATAAAGTCTTACTTTTTTCCATGACGCATCTCCAGTTGACTTATGCCCTGCCCACACTGAAAAACAACTCTCTTAAATATCATGATGTTTATTTACAAGGCATAGCAATGAATGGTAAATTTACAGAAATATTGACGACAGGGAAATGAAGGAGTAATGGAGGTTAATAATAAATAAAATGAAATAAAAATAAATTTCATATACAGTCTAAATTCACACATTAATGGTAAGTGAAGATTTTTAACTACAGATTGCTGAAAAAGCTAACCCACAGTTCAGGGATGGGCAATCACTTTGTGGCTAGGAGATACACATTGTAAAACACCACCTCAGCTTTTTAACGGTAGTAGAGCTTGTAATGAGGAAACGAGGACTATTTACTGGAGGCTAACAGAACTCGTGTACTGTGTTGATTTTTTTTTTCTTTTTGGCTTTTTTTTAATGAAAAATGTCACTGCTGCAACTGGCAGGTTTCTGCCAAGTCAATGTTGGGGGATACTGCATGCCATGAAAAATGGTCTGCAGATCACTTATGACTCACTGATAGCTTATTTCTGCAACAATTGGTGAATTCAGATAAAGAAAAAACCAATTAATCCCATTATGACCTAATGCAATGTGCAAGAATTACTTGCAGTCCAATTGCACTGCCTATTCTAGTAGATTACTGGGTATCAGCTGGAGATTAATTTTTCTCCAAAGAGTATGTTCATTATTGCACTGGCTGGGCACAAAATAACCCAAGTCATGCCATTTCACACACAAAAAGAAATACCTTGTTATTCTAGCAACTGCAGCAAAACATTACTTGGAAAAGATTCCCAACCTCATTATTCCCACTATGGGCCAAATGATGGACCAGATATCCAAAACGTCTATGGGCAGACATTGTTGCTCATTCTTTTTTTTTAAATCTCAAGATGTTATAATATGTAATAGTAAATGAGAATGACCTTTGGAGTCAAGTTGCTGGCTAGGAAACGAGACAAGAGAGCGGGGAGCTCCCAGTGGCTTAACAGTCAGAGGAAAAAACTTAGGAAGGACCCACTTCCTAAGTTATCTCAGCTGATAACTAAGCATCCTAACAGTATTCCCAATATTGAAATGTTTTCTCTTTTTCTGGTTTTTGTGCACTTGCTGTTTCCCAATTTATTGCTCCAATTGATAAAAATAGCAGTAAAGGGTTTTTTTTTCAAATAGAAAAGGGGAAGAAAAGGAAGAAAACCATTAGCACTTAATGGATCTTTAGCAAAACATCCCATCTTAAATCTTTCCCAGATGCACTTTCCCTCCAGAAAAAAAAAAAAAAAAGCTGGAATGGATAACTTGCTAATTTTGACAATCTCAAATACTTTTCCTACTGGGAGGCAAGGTTATTCTGCAACTGTGATAGTTATCCTGAATGTAAGGCTGAGCCCTAATTTTTAATTTCACATGTTATTCTCATCGCTCTGAAAATTAAGATACTGAACTTCATTCTCTTCCCTCGGGAAAGCCCGTCTAGCAAACATTTCCAATCAGGCAAAATTGACAGCAAGTATGAATCTGGAGATGTTGGCTGCATTCTGCTGAAACGCTCCTTTAGCCTTTAACTCCTCTTTAGTACAGAATGGATTTTGTTTATAAATACAAAAAAGAGCTCTCCAGCAGCTTCGCATTTCTTCCTTACAAGGAATCCAAAAGTTGCTCGGATGTATTTCCCAAATGCAGTACTACTGCAGCATTTTACTGGAACACATCAGGAAAGTAATTCTCCAGACAAATTAGCTTAATAGCAAGCTATTTTAAAAATGTTAAATTTTAATTTAGATTTATGAAAGTAAATTAAAAGAGAAAGGGAGAAGTAAGTGGGTCTCTGTGCATAAATCTTAATAGACTTATGTTTCCTTCTTTTCTTCCACGAGGAAATTTCATATTAAAAGAATGTATCCTATACCCATGTATGGTGCACATAAAAGTAGTTTTATAGAAACAGGCAAAACCCCCAAAGACACACTCTCATTACAAACAATTTGATCTTGGCTTTT